CCTTCGCCAAACCGTGCTTCATGGAAGTGCGCCATCATATACGCCATCCGGCATCGCCATCATACTCCTCTCGGGACGGGTCGCACCACCTGCGTCCCTAATAGGATGGTATTCACCATGGTGGCGCCAGCGGGTATAGTTTGAGACGAACCCGTGCTTGAGCAGATCTCTCAACACCTGAGCCTTTACTTTCTTCTTCTTGTTCCCGCACTTTCTGCGCGGGGACCACGACATCCGAATCGACCCTTTAGCGGTGGGCCAAATGCATGCTCCAGGAACTCAGTCGTCCCCGATCCATTCGTGGCTCTTACTTGCGAAGCCGAATACATCCACTCACGGTCACCCATGCTCTCTCGTCATGCGGCAATATTAACATGTGATAAAACCAGCAAGTGCATCTACAACGTGCTCCTACCATCTAATAGGTGAAGGATAGGTCCTAATCCCACCGAGCATCTTGTGACGAGGTTAGCTTCCATGCTCAAAGCTCCCGTCCAGAGCAGATTTCGGCGGCACCTCCCGCTGTTCTCCCGATACGTCCCGGGGAGTGTGTATCCGAGAATAACGAGGAGGTCTGCCGCCAAACTCCGACTCGGACGGGAACGAACATGGGAGCTAACCTCATCTGCTTATCCTCGGCTGTCCAAATAACATGGACAATCCGAAACGGATACGGTTATACATATCTGAAGAACGCATACTTCCAACCGTATCCGTTTGGACGAGAAACGCCTAGCGTAACGCGACCTATGACTACATGTGGCGGAAAGAGGGGTCATACCGCAGGTGCTTGGGTGAAAAAGGCTAGCGGGGCGGTGCAGTGAAGTCGTGCTCCTCGGCTAGCCTCAATGGGAGCCCCTCCACGAAAAAGAAAAACAATTAGTGAGAACGAAAATTTTGGCAGCACCTCCTCCACAGATGCAGAATGTTACCAAACACAAGAAAAAAAAGACGGCCACGATGGCCGACAAACACATATACATGTCACGCATACGATGGCCGACAACCACAAATGTATTTCCAATCCATGCGAAAGAATATAAAAGAGTATTAACAAAGTAAACTACTACTACTAGTAGTACTACTACCTACGTCGTCACCAGACGGGCGTCACCACCGCGATGGAAGCCGAGGCGCCTTGAGGACGCAGTGGCGGGAGAATGGCAACAAGGCGAGGGCACTGGCGGGCAGGACGGCGGCGAGGCGAGGCGGCGCAGCGGACGGCGGCGAGGGACGGCGGGACGTGAGGCGAGCATGACGCTGCACGGGCGGACGGAGCCTTGGCCGGATCGGGCGGAGCGAGGGGCCAGCGCAGGCGCAACGAAGTAAATCATGGCAGCAGGGATGCAACGGCCGCCGGGCCCTGCCAGCAGCCTGGCAGCGCTGGCAGCGGATCGGGCGGTGCGGCCTTGATGAGGCAAGGCGGGGCGGCGGCGGCCGAAGGGGCCCAGCTGGGGGACGCGGGGGGCCAGCGCCGGGGAGGGGGCAGCCGTGGGAAACCCAGCGCCAGCAGCGGTGGACAAGGCCACGGGAGGGACCAACAGCGGGGAGACAGCCATGGGCCAGCGGGAGGGCTGGCGTCAGGGGAGGGCGCCAAGTGGGAGGGTGAGGAACGGGAGGAGGGAGGAGGGATTCAGCAGGAGAGAGAGGGAGGGGCAGGGGAGGGGAGGGCGCGAGGGATGCGCCAGGGTGGGCGACAAGCGACGGCGGCGAAGCGGTGGGAGGAGGGATTTTGGGCGGCGGATAAAGGCGATATGGCGTTTTCTTTTTCTTTTTTCCCTTTCTTGGCGCCCGACATGTGACGATCGACAAGGTCTAATATTTTTTTTTTCAAAAATTATTTTTTAATTTTTTAAAAAAATACTTTGCCGATTGCTAATCTCCCCCGCGCGTCGGCAAAGGATTCAACCATTTTTTCTTCGAAATTTTTCTTGACGCCATCCTCCCAGGCGATCGGCAAAAGCTCTTCTAATCGCCATTGATGGCGGTCGACAAAAAAAATTAATTTTTTCGATTTTCGATCCCGGTTTTTTTGTGTTGCCTTGCTACAGTAAGTACATGATATATTCCAACTTTGAGGGTCATTTTGATTTATTTTGCTATATTCCATTGATTTTTTACATTTCTTTGATTTTTCGTGACTCAGATTTGAGCTGCAGTACATGAAATAATGGAATCCGGCGATTCCAGAAAATGATATTCATGATGTTTGGAGCATGTTGAGGCCGATGTCACGGGGCCTCGCGTGAAATTTCGTCCAGTGTTGGTGTCACGGAACCACCTCATGGACGCAGCGGTCGAAAAGTGTTTTTAAATTTTATAAAATAAAGCAGATTTTATAAAATAAGCGAAGCTTTTCGACGTCTTGTCATTGCCGCGGTGGCTGTGGTAAAAATACGAGAGAAATTTAGAGGCAAGTGGCGGCAACATGGCTAAAACATCATGACATCTCCACATCGCCATGTGGAGATGTCCATTCTTTCGCGGACCGTCGCCAGCTGGCGTTCGGTAAAGCGAAAAATCAAAGAAATTTTCGTGTACCCAAAATATAAGAAATAAATCAAAATGATCCCAAACTTGAATAATATCATAACTTAATGGCGATCAAGGCAACACAAAAACTAGGATCGAAAATCAAAAAAAAAAATTCTTTTGCCGAACGGTGTGGAGGATTGGCGCTAAGTAAAGCTCGCTACTTGCCGATGGCGGCGGAGTGGCGGTCGGCAAAAAGTGACGGCGGTGGATGGTCGTCCATGGTACGCCTTCTTGCAGACGGTAATTCTTTTGCCAAGCTGCTGGCGTTACGGCAAAGCCATGGCTTATAAGCGCTCAGCGATTGGACTAAAGCCGGCGATCGGCAAATCACAGCTGCTGCAACTGCGAAATTCCAGCTAAGCAAAAGGGACCTCTTTCTTAGAAATTAACGGAAAAAAGCGGTTGGCAAAAGAAAATTGCGCCGATGACAAGAACCCGGGTTTCTGTAGTGTTTTGATCAAAACAAATCTTAAGCACTTGAATCAAAGAGGTAAGATTGCTTCTTATAATAGCCATATCTCACTTCACAATAGCCTAGTTGATATGTCTTGCTATTTTAAAAGATGTCTACAAGCAACAAGTTTATGTGCTAGGAATAAAGAGTATGTAGGCCAAACTTCAGAGTTATGTTCCATGTGCCATCTGCTATCATGGCTCTGACAATTCAAGCCTTTAATTTGGTCTTTGAATATTTATTAACAACATCAGGTGTCATAAATTTTAGGGAAATTTATAGCAGAGAGCAACAAGGCTGTGCAAACCACTGCACCAAAGCGATTCAGGCACCAAGACATGCCAGGAGTGCCCCCCCTCTAGAGTCTAAAGGACCCAAAATTTTGTGTGTTGCCTGGTCTAATCGTGTATATACACATGTTTGCACCAGTTAACGTCAAATTTGCTACATCTATGCATACATCATTTAGCATGGCAGGAAAACTCTCAAGGGGAGGCTCTTTGGGAGCTTTTCCCACTATCCTCGAACTATCGTAGAGGTCCTTTGATAAGCTATTTTGTCTTTTTAATAACTATCGCATTTTATGAGCCGAATTAATGTGTCCCACATATTCCTTCATGTACTTCACCCATAGTTAATCTAGACCGATTAGAAATCCAAACACTTGAAAAAGTAATCCATCTAATGTTCAGCGGTATAATTCATCATTTAACAACGTATATTTTAAAGCTTGTCGCCCAATAATAAGCTCAAAAAGTGCATGCACGCAGATGTAGACCACATGGACGACAGACAACTCGGCACAATAAACTCATCAGCCACCCATAGCATCCATACATGGCACCAGCAGGCAATATACAAAGTATGCGACATCCAGATCGATGGATGGCATGTAGATCACGTACTAAGCTAGCCTTTTGCGTTGTCCACAGGGTGCAACCATGGACGGTGCACCCCCCTGCTGTGTCCGGCGGAACAAGACCACGGCCACGGCCCACGGCAAGCAGGAAGGTGACGGTGCATGGAGCACAGCAAAGGTGCAGTAGCTAGTGTACGGACTCGCATCCCTGTGTCCCACGACGTGGTGACGATCATCCAGTGGATGGAATCATGGAAATGGAACAGAGCAGCTAGCATTCGGGATGGGCTTTTGGATGGATGGATGCATGTGGTGAGGACTGATAATGATCCAGATGGACGTACGGTAGGTATCACGTATACCCTCTCAATGAGCTTGAGCACGAGCACCAGGCTTAGCGGCGAAGCACCCTAACAGCGGGCCCCTCGCCGCCCCGGATGTCGCCTGCACCACCAGCCGCTTCCTACAAAGATCCCATGTACAACACTTGATCTATTTTCAAACATCCAAATACAAACGTTGCAACATACAAAAAGAAGACCAGATGAAACACTTGAAACATGTGTCCTAAACACTTGCAAAACACCCGAAAAGCACTTGAAAACCATTGCAAACATATGCAACATCCAGATGAAATACTTGCAACAAGTGGTATGAAACACCCGAAATGTTTGAAACATACGCTTGTAACATGCATGTATATGCAACATCTGATATACTTTTCCAACATCGAGACAAAAAAACTTGCAACGTATACGTCTGACATGATGAAACATTTGAAACATACACTTGAAACATACTTGCATAGCCATTGCAACATGTGCAACATCCCGACTACTTTTGCAACACCGATATGAAAAACTTACAACATACCTACTGAAATATCTTAAATACTTGAAACATATGCTTGCAACATGAGTTTTGAGCACATCTCTCTGTCAAGATGGGAATGGAGGCTCGGTTTCAAGATGTGGAGTTCACCAATGTAGAGCTCTCGCCTCCGTGGAGAAGGCCGCCGATAGGTCCGTGGAGAAGGCCGCTGAAAGCCGCCACCTACCCAGGAGGAGAGATCGTCTGTGACGCCGGAAAGGTCGTAAGCGCAGCCGGAGGCTAGCCGGAGATGGAGGAAGGCAAGCTGCCACGCCGGGCGCGATGGAGATGTATACCGCGATACCGATATCATGGAGAATCGCCGATGCGGCGTTGCCTGAAAAGCGGTCGCTGCTGGCCGCTGCTAATGGAAAAACGACTGTTGTAACAATAGTACTATCAAGGTCTAAAAGGTATTTCGTACCAAGCCAAAACTCTAACAACAGAAGACCTGCATGCCTCAATATAACTCATGCCACGATGGCCATACCGGAGGATTCACATCAAGAACAAT